TTTATATTCTGTCTTTTGCATGTATTACTGCAACTAATAAAGTTTTTTTTTCAATAGGCTAAAAAGTTTTAAGTGAGGATGTGGACACCACAACAGAAAGCTCAATGCGTCTCATGGCCGTATTCGCTCCACATTTTCTGGACTTGTGCTGGGTCGTCCGGCTCCACTTTTATGCAATACTGATCCGGTGCTCATGAAGCTTGTGTGCCATGCATGGATGGAGGGTCTCTTTGGAAATTTGTCCTGAAGTTCCGTTGAACCTGTGTATCTGATTTCGTCTCTATGAACCATGAGACGCATTGAGCTTTCTGTTGTGGTGTCCACATCCTCACTTGTAACTTTTTAGCCTATTGAAAAAAAAAACTTTATTAGTTGCAGTAATACATGCAAAAGACAGAATATAAATATCTTGTTTATGTTTGAAGTTATGAATTTTTGAAGTTGTAAAGATAATTTTGGAACACCCTGTATGACCATTTTCTTATTTACATACCATAACAAATATACCTGATTTGGAATTATGAGATTAATATATATTATTTATTTTACATTCATTATTTTTCTGGAATTTGTTAATCTTGTTATAATTGGCCATGAAAACTTTTTGTCCCAGAGGTTATTTCTTTCTTTTTATTGATTTTCATTATCTGTCACAAATATATCTTGCTTGGATTTTTAGATTTTTTTGTCTACTTCTTTTAAATTTTTGTCTAGTAGACTGAATTTTTTCCAATTCCGTATTGAAGATTCAATTATTCTACAAAGCTTTTGCTAATACCCTCAAGCAAACAATAAAAAAAAAAAAAATTTCTTACTGGAAATTTTTTTTCCAGGGCTTTCCCATATTTTGGCAAATTTATTTTCTAGCTATTCTTTCATCTGATTAATCACCTCCATGTCTATGTATTTTGTATAATATGCAATTTTCTCCTAATGTCTACATATATTTTTAATCATAAAAGGTCTTATTTTTATCAGATTAAATTTTATAACTCTTTTTTACTACTGAAAAAATCTTTGACCTGTTTAATGCAAAAAAAAAGAAGTTATTGTTAAGAATTTAATTAAATGTTTTAAATTTCAATTATTAATAACATAGTGTGTTTTCAGACAACTGTCAAAACTAAGTGATGGAACTGATTCAGATACAGCTAGTCCTGCAAAATCTGAAAGGTCTCCTTCAGTAATAGGATCTGAAGATGGTCTGCGTAAAAGAGCTAAAAGTTGGAAAGATTCTTATCATCGGAGAGCCAGTAAAAAATCTGCTGTAGAAAAGCCTAAAACTGGAACCAGGCTCACAGAAAAGGAAGGAATGGAAGTTGGATCAGTAAGACAAATGTTTGTTGGCTATAGTGTTTTTTTAGAAAGGACTCCCATTAATCAGATAATTAAATGAAGTATTAATAGGTTATGAATGAAGAAAATTTATTTGTTTTTTAAACTGCAGACTTTTTTAAAATCTTATTTTGTTAATCAGATCTATAAAATATTCAGCTAAAAAAGAAGTAATGCTGCGCTTTGAAAATTGAATGCTCTTTTTGGCATAACTAGGAGTTTTTTTTTTAGTCATATAAGTAAAATTATCCATCTTCAAGTAAGTTAATAACATTTTGCTAAGTGGTCTGATAATTGAAGTAATATAGTTACAAATAAAGAAAATGTAGTTACATTACAACTTGAAAGTTTTTTTTTATTTTTTAAAGTTATAGTCTTGTTTATTAGATAATTGAAATATGCTATGAAAAAAGTAAATGTTACAACTTTGTATGGAAAATATTCCTTTTTTTCTTAAGAATTTTGTGAATTTGGTAATTAAAATTGTGATGAATTATGATTTGTGATGAATTAATGATTTTTTTAGTAGGGTCTTCTTAAACAGTTAGTTAAAATTATAAATTTGTAAGAAAGGTAAATACTTCGTGGACAGAAACAAAGAGTAAGCTTAGCGAGAGCTGTCTATAATGATGCTGACATATATTACTTGGATGATCCACTCAGTGCTGTTGATGCTCATGTTGGGAAACATATATTTGAGGAGGTTATTGGAATAGATTTTGATACATTAAAGGGTTNGGATCAGTAAGACAAATGTTTGTTGGCTGTAGTGTTTTTTTTAGAAAGGACTCCCATTAATCAGATAATTAAATGAAGTATTAATAGGCTATGAATGAAGAAAATTTATTTGTTTTTTAAACTGTAGACTTTTTTGAAATCTCATTTTGTTAATCAGATGTATAAAATATTCAGCTAAAAAAGAAGTGTTGCTGCGCTTTGAAAATTAAATGCTCTTTTTGGCATAACTAGGAGTTTTTTTTTTAGTCATATAAGTAAAATTATCCATCTTCAAGTAAGTTAATAAAATTTTGCTAAGTAGTCTGATAATTGAAGTAATATAGTTACAAATAAAGTAAATGTAGTTACATTACAATTTGAAAGTTTTTTTTTTTTTTTTAAGTTATAGTCTTGTTTATTAGATAATTGAAATATGCTATGAAAAAAGTAAATTATACAACTTTGTATGGTAAATATTCCTTTTTTTCTTAAGAATTTTATGAATTTGGTAATTAAAATTGTGATGAATTATGATTTGTGATGAATTAATGATTTTTTTAGTAGGGTCTTCTTAAACAGTTAGTTAAAATTATAAATTTGTAAGAAAGGTAAATACTTCAGTTTTTCAAATTGAAAATTTTTTTTTTTGCTAAGTAGAGTCTCGTTAATCTGATAATTAAAATTATATAGTAAATTAATTGGGGAAGTTTGAATTTTGCTGTATAGGGGTCTTGTTGAGTTTTTAATTTGAACTTAATATCTGCAAAAAAAGTAAATGTTGCAGCTTTGTTGAGTGACAACTTTATTTTTCCTTGCTAAGTAAGCTAATGGAACAAATATTTATCTACGATTCAAATATTCTAATTTATTTCTATCCATATTAATTAAAATATATATTAAATAAAAATTATATTATCAGTATAATTATGAATAATATTATCTGCATTGAATATAGTTTATTCCATATGAATAGTTGAATAAAATACTCAAATAATGTAGAGAATTTATATTTTATGTTTGTGTTTTCCTTTCACCCTGTAGGTTAAAGCATCTGTGTATGTTGATTACATGAAATCTTATGGTTACTGGAACACATTCTGGACAATTTTGAGTTACACTTTGTGTACAGCATTCAGTCTTGGATCTAGTTTATGGCTTTCTGCATGGAGTGCAGATGCTACTGACCCTGTGAAAAGTGCCGATACAAAATTACGTGATTTACGTTTAGGTGTTTATGGTGGACTGGGTTTTGGTGAAAGTAAGTGTTTCCCCTTTTGTTCTAAGTTATAAATTTTTTCTCACATTTTTATTAAGACTTGTGTTTTTAGACCATATTATTTCTTTATTTTATAGAAATAAGTTATAATAACACTCACTGACACAAAATATTTTGTACATACCAAAGCTGTGATGATAGAAAACTTTAAGTATGATAGAAAACTTTAAGTATGTGTTTTGGACACTGTCAATTTTCATGTATGAAATGGTACCCCAACATAGAATCAAGTTAATGTGTCTTATATAGTGGTGAATTGGAATTAAGAAATTGTAGTGATAAATACACTACAGTACTCCCCCACGAGAATTTTATCTGTGATAGAATTCGATGAACAGATACCACTAACTGATTCATTGCTTTTGAGAGAAGCTGGGAGATCTGTATTAAGACCATCGGACTTTGAGTGCTTATCCTGATTACTGTATTAAGTTCACAGTTGGTCCTGTGTTGCCATTAGCAGTAGAGTGTATACAGGCTATCGTTGTGTGTAATTGAGACGGAGTAGCAACAACTTAATGAGGACAATGTTGCAGTCACAAAGTAGAAAGTTAACTGTTCAATGTAGACCATCTATCAAAGTAGGCATGTTCAGGTCACGCCTGCAAGCCACTAGTGGTAAACACGCTACAGATCTGTCATTCCACAGGGATGATGTTCTATCCTATGCCAAGTAATGGCTTGAAAAATATTGAACTATTTCTAAATCTTTCAGATCGATCAGTACCAGCTTAACTTGGAACTGAAGAAGACTAGTGTACAGTGCGATCTCTCTGCCATTATCAAACCATTGATCTTGAAATTGTAAAGCCTTGTTCTTCATGTTTAACTACTTGTTGTTACAAAAGTTCTTTACTCTTTTACATAACATGGGCAAAAACAGTTGTGTTTTACTAAATTGACCATGTTGAATTATAACAATATCCAATCACCTGCAATTAAAGAGCAATTTAATAATGTTGAAGACTTATATAGATCATTTGCTAATTTTAAATTTCCTTCTACTGTTCAGACTTTAAAAATAACAAATGGTTAATTTAACTAATAGATGAAATCTTACAAACTTATCAACAACAAAAATTCAATGCAAATTTTTAATATTTCACTATTTTCTTTTAAAGTGGTCACCTGTGCATTTTAATTCTTCCTTGTAAATTTTCACACTTGTGTAGCTTATTAACTAACTTTGGTATTTTTGCATGACTAATTTAATTAAAAATGTGTAACCTGTATTTTTAAATAATGGGAGAGTGTGTAGGAAGTGGAACCTTATCCTATCTGGCTATTCTGTTATTCTGCTTACACCTCTATTACCACATTAGACTTGACAGTAAACAGCCTATATTCTATAAATACTTTTGTTAACATTTCCCCTTAATAGTGAGTTGTCCAGCAGGTGGCGTAGTGCCACAACTACTGTGTCTGTTTACAAATGTAAGAGAGAGAAATTTTTAATATAAAACGAATAAGAAGCAGCAATGTACTAGGCTGCTGAAGTAGTTAGTTTTCTTTTATTTCTTAAATAAATTTATTGTTGAAATCGTTCTTAACTTGACTCATCGCCACATCGAAGAGCAAACAGCGATAGAAAGTAAAAGAAGACAACGGAAATCAAAAGTGGGATAGAAAACAGCGTCAANTTAGTTTTCTTTTATTTCTTAAATAAATTTATTGTTGAAATCGTTCTTAACTTGACTCATCGCCACATCGAAGAGCAAACAGCGATAGAAAGTAAAAGAAGACAGTGGAAATCAGAAATGGGATAGAAAACAGCGTCAAAGAAAGTCCAGAAAAATTTCGTCAAAAGTTTGTTAGTCACGTTAAAGATTCTAAAAGTACATGGTCAGATTATGTTTTCGAAATACGTAACTTTTTTAATGAATGGTTGTGAGGGTTAAAAATAATTGATTTAGATTCATTAAAAGAACTAATAATAACGGACCAATTGAAAAAATGCGTCCCAGGTTTAATGCGAGAGCATTTTATTGATTCATGGCCTAATTACGTAAACGCGAATGAGTTAGCCAATAAATTAGATGAATACGATAGTGTGCGTTCCGGATTAAAAATAAATAGTGAAAAAAGTACTAAATCTGTAGGTCAATACGATGATTACAAAAATTATTCGCGAGTATCAAACTTCTGCAACTCAAATAGATACGATAATAAATTTGAAAACAGAAATGTGATGAGCCATAAATCTTTTGAAAAGGAGAGTTCGTCTAAATATGATAGCAATAAATCGTTTAATTCTTCCATTCAAAATGAAAAAGGTGAACCTAAGTGTTTTTCTTGCAATAATTTTGGGCATATCTCAAAAGATTGTCTGTATACCTGTAATTTATATGGATTAAAAGGGCATAGCAGAAAGAACTGCTCTAATAAGAATAAAAAGGAAGTTAATTTAAGTGTGAGTGGCCCTGAATATTTCGCCTGCACCGATAAATATTTGAGAAGTGCTGTAATTAATAAACACATCGTCAGCTGTATTCTTGACACCGGCGCCTCTTCTTGTTTATTGAAAGAATCTGCGGCTAAGCATGTGGGGGTGTGGGAGCGAATAACGCCGTGTACAAAGGATCTTTATGGCTTCGAAGACAAAACAAGCCCTGCTTCGCAGAGCATGGGAGCAGTAATATTAGATATTAAAATTGAGGATGTATTGGGAAAAGATATTTCTGTTTTGATCGTCCCGGATGCAGCACAGAACGTTGACCTAATTGTCGGTAGGACATTTTTGGATTTACCATACATCGCATATGCTAGAGTCGGCGATACCTTGCATATTGGTTATGAAAAAGATTACCCATTCATTACATTAAATTGTATCGAAGAAATGCCTTGTATTAAGTTGAAAACGCAAGAAACTACGAAAATAATAAACAACAGCGTGAATTTTGTAATGGCAAAAACTGAACAAGTAAATAATGGGTTAATTTTGATTCAAGGAAATGAAAGTAATTTTGATTCTTTACTTGAAGCAAAGGAGAGTAAGACGATTGTACCAATCATTAATATCAGAAATAAAGAAATTAAAGAAAAATCAAAACATTGGTTAGGCGGATTTAGTGAACGAAGTGCTAAATGTAAGTAATTTTAATTCACTTGAGGATAATCCATCATTAGAATGTTTTAGTGTCAATCCAGTAGATATAGAACAAAAACCCATAATTTTAGATGAAATAAAATTTAATGAAAATTCAACGAGACAGCAACGACAGGATATCGTTAAGCTTTTGAATAAATTTAGAGACTGTTTCGCATTAAACATTTCGGAGTTAGGTTGTACAAATTTAATAAAAATGGATATTAAGGAAATTGAGGGATCAAAGCCCGTATGCATGAAATCATATAAAACGAATGCAATCGAAAGAAAAGCAATTAAAGAAATCGTAAATGAATGGAAAGAAAACGGTATTGTAACAGAAACGCGTTCACCATATTCGAGTCCTGTACTTTTAGTGCGTAAGAAGACAGGTGAAAATCGGTTAGTTATTGATTACAGAAAATTAAATAATCAAACGATAAAAGATAAATTTCCCCTTCCGAAAATCGATGACTTATTGGAACAACTACACGATTGTAGTCTGTTTTCAGTTTTAGATTTGGCTCACGGTTATTTACAGCTTCAATTAACCGAAGAAGCGAAATTAAAAACCGCGTTTATCACTCCAGATGAAACCGGACAATTTGAAAGAATGATATTTGGTCTTACCAATGCTCCAGCAGAATTCCAACGTTTAATGTATCGCGTGTTAGGATGTTTATGTAACAAGGATGTTTTATGTTATCTTGACGACATTCTTGTTCATGCTAAAACGTGGGAAGAAATGCTAAATAAATTAATTAAGGTATTTGAGGCATTACGGGAAGCAAATTTGACTTTAAAATTATCCAAGTGTGAGTTCGCAAAAAATGAAGTTGAATTTCTGGGATTTATTGTCAATAAAGATGGGATAAAACCGGGCTCCAGAAAGGTTGAGGTAATTTCCAAGTTTCCCGAACCTAAAAATGTGCATGAGGTTAGACGTTTTCTTGGTTTAACAAGTTTTTTTAGAAGGTTTATTCAGAATTACGCCATAAAAGCTAAACCCTTAACCGAATTAACTAAAAAGAATGAAGAATTTAAGTGGGACGAAAATAAAAAGAAATCTTTCGAAATATTGAAAAATGAACTGGCACGACAACCAATTTTGGCACTTTACAATCCCGAAGCTAAAACCGAAGTTCATACTGATGCAAGTGCAGACGGCATCGCAGGAATGTTACTTCAGTTGGGAAGCGATGATAAGTGGCACCTAGTTTACTGTGTCAGCAAGAAGACTACTGAACCTGAAAGGAATTACCATTCAAGTAAATTGGAGTTGATGGCCATAGTTTGGACACTAGAAAGACTCAGACAGTTTTTGTTAGGTATCAATTTTACAGTTGTGACAGATTGTCAAGCATTAATCTACATGAATGCCAAAGAGTCAAGTAATCCCCAAATCGCATGATGGAGTATTCTAGTACAAGAGTACAATTTTTCAGTTTGCCACAAACCAGGCATTAAAATGACCCATGTAGATGCTTTGAACAGAGCTCCTATCTCAGACCCAGAAGACACCATGACAAGCCTTATCGAGAAAAAATTTGAAGTATGTCGAACATTGAGCGAAGATGAGCAAATTTTAATTATCCAACATACTGACGAGGAGTTAAAGACATTAATAGACATTTTTAAGAAAGATGGAGAAAGATCTGCAGAAAAAAAAACAGAACTATTAAGCAAGACAAAAAGAAAGAACTGTAATAGAACTTTAAAAGTTTTTATTCATTCATATTTCAAAGAAGGAAAAAAAAATGTGTATTAAGTAGGAAAAAAAAATTGTTAATTGTCTATATCTATTATGTAATAATTGATGTATGTATCTTTTGTTAAGTAAGTGTCAATTGAGGGCAATTGTATCATCAGGATGCCTGATTGTTAACATTTCCCCTTAATAGTGAGTTGTCCAGCAGGTGGCGTAGCGCCACAACTACTGTGTCTGTTTACAAATGTAAGAGAGAGAATTTTTTAGTATGAAACGATTAGGAAGCAGCAATATACTCGGCTGCTGAAGTAGTTTGTTTTCTTTTATTTCTTAAATAAATTTATTGTTTTATTGTTGAAATCGTTCTTAACTTGACTCAACGCCACATCGAAGAGCAAACAGCGATAGAAAGTAAAAGAAGACAACACTTTTAATTGATATTTGACAATTATAATGCATAAAAAGTACTTAATTTTAACCTATTGTGTACCACATTCTAAATTGATGTGTTATTCTTTATAGTTGTTTTCACTATAGTGACTGCCGTTCTCATGAACCTTGCTTGTCTTCGAGCCTCAACAATTCTTCACAATGTCATGCTGAATCACATAATGCATGCACCGATGTCATTTTTTGACACAACTCCTTTAGGAAGACTATTAAACAGGTTCTCTAAAGACATTGATACAGCTGATGTCACGATTCGATTCAACATAAGAATTCTACTTATTATGTCATTCAGAACTTTAGGTGCAATCATCATAATTTGCTTGGAAACACCAATATTTATTGTGGCTGCAATTCCTCTTGGTATTTTATATTATTTCCTACAGGTAGGCATTTTTATAGTTATTGGATAGCATTTGTCTTTTTTATTTCTTTCAATCAACTATTAATTCAGTGTTTTTGCTTTTAAAAAAAGTTTTGCTATGTTTTTACTGAATAATAAGTGTGGGAATAAAGCTAGACAATGAGAAAAGAGCGCAAAAGGATGTCCCCTAAATAAATAAGACCATTTCAGTTCTGTAATGAAAAGCCTTCTTCAGTATCAAATTACAGGATGAAAAAGAAAAATACTAAGACACTGAAGAAATTACAAACAAGCTACAATAGGGAAAAAAGGATAGACTAATAGAGTTGAGAAAACAATCCAACAAGATAAGCAAACAAAGTTAGATGAATGAAATAAGTGTGATTGTAAGGTGAGAATCTCTGATGTTGCAAGATGTAGATATTGGAGAAAAAAAAGAACTAAATTGCTAGGGAATATAAAATTGATAAAAAATTTAGGTTGGTGGCCACAAAGCAGTATTTAATGCTTTTAACAAAAGAAAACAAACTTAATCTATTACTTTATTGGAGCTTGTTTATAATTTCTTCTGTAAAAGGTTTATCTATGGTGTATACCAATTTACTAACTTAACTTTGAAAGATAATAAACTTCCACTGGTTATGTAAAACTAGCTAACTACACTTAAAATGAAATTATTTGATCAGAGAGTTTTTCGCAAGAGATTTATGCAAATCATCAAAAACTTTAAATTTTTCTAAATTTTGATGCCATTAGAATAACCAAAAATTCATGCATTAAAATTATATTTTATGTATATCCTTTGGAATTATCCATAATTTCTTATTTTTTATACTTAAAATTAATTTCAATAATTCTAATTTTTTATATTTAAAATTAAATTCTATAAAGTAATGTCCTCATGAACTATCTTATGGGAAATAATGCATTAATTTCCAGTCTTTAGAAAACTGTGCTTTATATATTTGCTTGTGTATTTTTAGAAATTCTACATACCAACTTCTCGGCAGCTAAAGAGATTAGAGTCGACCACTCGTTCTCCTGTTTATTCCCATTTTTCAGAAACTGTTACCGGTGCCACTTCTATTAGAGCTTTTAGAGCAGATCAGCAGTTTATGACCCATTCAAACAACCTAGTAGATATTAATAATGAATCCTATTATCCTAGTCTTGGAGCTAGCAGGTGTGAATAATTTTTATTTTTTAAAAAAATTTTGCATTTATTTATGTCTCAAATATAATAGCTCTATTTTTGAGCATTTGTTATTACACTATGAACAAATAATTTATGTTATAGTTTAAAGAATTTATAATTTACAATATAGTCATAGATAAAGTGTTACCATAGTTTCCGATGTACATGTCAACCCTGTATTCCAACAAGTCAACCATGATGAACTTTTAGTTGGTTTTAAGAGTGTTTGGTAATCAAATTAACTCCACAATTTAAATTTGTTAAATTTTTTTTAACCAAATGCAAAAGTGCCTAATTATTCTGGAATGGAAAAGACAATTCGATCGTAATTAGAGAACTTCTTAAAATATTTAGTCATTCCCATTCATTGGATTGTACCTAAAATTATATTTTATGGACTTCAAGAGAAAGAAGTGAAATTACTTATAGAATGGAACCTTTACTATGCTATGTATAAAAAAAAAATTTTTTTATTATATCAAAGCTTTGATTGTGTTATAGTAGTATTACTTTTATGTTTGTATTTACCTTATATATTTATTAAGTTAATTTCTATGCTGAGAGTCAAATTTCTGGAAAAAAATATTTATGCCCAAATGTGTTACCAGTAAATAAGTCAAATCACAACTATCTTTGCAATTTAGGGGTTCAAAAAGTTGATTTATAAACCAGAAAATATAATATTTACTAATACCTGGTTAGTATGTTTTTTTACAGAATATTTGCTTTCAAAATATGTCAGAAAGTAATGGGCTATAAACTCATCTGGGCTATTTCATGTTTGAACATAAAGGTAACAACATAAAAAATAATTAGTTTTTTTTTCTTCTATAAAATGATAAAAATTTTTAATGAAAATATAGGCCACTTTTATTAAAATTTGTTAAAATACAGATAAGACTTTAAAAAACCAGAAAAAGTTAATCTGGAATTAAAAATGTGTTTATTGAGTTAGTTTCTAAAACTTGAAATATCATAAATAATATAAGAAATTTTCATTTGTATTTTGTGATCCATTAACATAAATAAATTATTTGTAGGTGGTTGGCTATTCATTTAGAGTTTCTTGGATATACAGTTGTTTTCTTAGCTGCTCTTTTTGCTATTTTGGCAAGAGATACTTTGAGTCCAGGAATAGCTGGGTTATCAGTCAGCTATGCGCTGCAGGTAATATTTTTATTTATTGGTTCCATCCGGTGTGATTTTCCCTTGTAGATTGTACTTTTAGAAATTTGTTATTATATCAGTACAAAAAATAGCATTACAAGCTCTGATTTTTTTTTAAAAATTAGTTTTGGTTTTCAGATATATTGAAAAAAATATTGCTTTTTTAAAAACAGGAAAAATAAAGAATAATATCATAAGACCACAACCAGTAATTTCAGTGTTAGTTGAGTATTTTCAAAACCTCACTTAACATGCTCAGATCATGCTCTTTAATTGCATCTGGTTGCTAAATTATTATTTTTTCAAATTTTGTATTTAACAGTGCAGTATTACTGGTAGTAACTGTACAGCATATTCTGTGCTTACAACCTGTCATTATAGTGTTATTTTAGCATTTTCAAAATCTCACTTAAAATATTCTACTACTAAGCTCTTCTAATTCACATGCTTCTAATTCAATAATTCTACTTAGCTCATCATAATGTTTTGATTTTACTGTGCAGCATAAAACATAGCTTAATGTTCTATGCTTATAACCGATCAATAAAATATTATTTTTAATATCTTATTTATCATGTTCTGTCTGCTAAAGTCTTCAATGGCAGATGAGTTTTTAATTATTGTTTTTAAAATTTGTCTCGGTACAAAAACTTGTATTATGAGTTTAAGCTTCAAGTATTATAAGTTTAAATTTCAAGTATTATAGGTTTAAGCTTCAAGTATTGCTTTTAAAAAATATATTTATTAAAGCATTAATAATAATGTGTTATAATTAATGTTTTAATAAAATTATACATTTTATAGATGACTGGCCAATTAAACATGCTTGTTAGGGCCACAGCTGATGTTGAGACTAACATTGTTTCTGTTGAGAGATGTTTAGAATATACCAAAACTCCAGTAGAAGTAAGTAATACAGGGTTTTTCATGACTGCCCTGATTATATATTTTCAGAATACTTAGAAAATATTAGTCAGCAAACTATTTTTCTAATTGAGTTAAAATTCAATGATTTTGTGAGAAAAAATAAAATTATTTTTCTTACTTAAATAATTAAGGTCAGTGTGAGAAGAAAAGGAAAAATTAAAGTAATATAATTCCAGTTTATTTTGGATGATTTTTATCACCCTTTTGTTCTTTCACACTTAAACATTAATTTTAAAACTCCTATCACACATAGTTTTTCTGACTTCTCTTTTTATAAGGATTAAAAAATATGCAAGAATGTGGGTATTTTGGAACACTTCGTTCAAGAATTTTTTTTTTAATTGTATGTATTCATAGATATGAATAGTTGCGTCCTTAATCAGAAACTATATACTATTGATTTTTTTTTTTCAAACAGAATTTTTATGACACTAATATGCTTTTTAAATGTAAGTTTACATTTTAATTTAATGTTAGAAGCCAATTGAATAATGAAAAAAAAATTCTTTTTAATTTTATTGTTTGTTTCTTAGGCTGATTGGACAAATGAAAAAAATAAACCTGATCCATCATGGCCTTCAGATGGTAATATTAAGTTTGAACAGTATGCCACGAGATACAGAGAAGGATTGGAATTAGTTTTAAAAGGAATTTCATGCAACATTAATCCATCTGAAAGGGTCAGTATTTCTTTTTTTTCTAAATACCTATGCACTAATGTGGATATGATTGGTCAATTTCTCTTGTGAAAAAAAATTAAGTTAGCCTTACTTTTTTATTTTTTTGCTAGTCATACATATTTTAAATACCAGGACTACCAAGCAAGATGCTAAAAACTATACTCTCATTAAACTTTAAGGATCTGTGTTTTAAAATGAACATAAGTAGAGTTGACACGCTATGAAAATTAAGTCTTTATATGTACTCTTACTGTGGAGATTGTTCTGTAATTACTGCCCTTATAACTGCCTTTAATATACATTTTAGAATCCTTTTCAAAAATGAAGTTAAAGCTGTGCATATTAAAGTTCGCAAAATATTATTAGAAAAGAAAGCAAAATATTATCAAAATCTGATGAATCACTATTAAGAATAGAAATATCAAAGCCTGTTTGACTTCCAGAAAAACATGAGTTTTATTTTGCAATCAAACTAGACTTCATATTCTCTTACTGGTTTTCCACAATGGTGATTTGGCAGATTTTGAAAGCAATATTTTCCACACTTAAATATTAATTTGCGTCCTCTAATGTTCATGTTTTTTTTTTGTCAAGGATTTTAAAAATTGAATAAAGGCATTGATTGCAGAACACTCTGTTGTTACAATATAGTTGATATTTATTCAGGGTGGCCACCCACCTTGAAAACCTGGAAATTTTTTCTGATATATTTTTTTAATTTCACTAATTTAAATTATTTGCTAATTTTCTTAATTTAAATTGTTTCATCCTTTATACCCACATTTTTTAGACGGAAATGTATCTCCAAACAGTTAAAATATCATCATCTTAGCTATACTTTGCTTTCATCAAAATTTGCTCCATTATAACCCTGTTAAGCTAGAATGTCACATAAAATTCTCCCATGGTTGCTAAGCAAATGTAGAAACCTTTGATCTCTATGCAGACTATGGGACTGTGCAATTTAGGAAAGGCAAAGATTATGGTGGACATGGAAGACAGGGTTCGAATATTTGCTTCGGTTTTTAAGTTCTGTCCGTGGGTTTGCTCACACAATGATTCAAGTTTGATCAAGTCAATTGAGAGTGGTAATTTTTTTCCATTTTGACAAAATGAGTCAAAATGTTTTTGTTTTTTTAACTTTATTAAATTCTCTAAAAATTAGTTGGTTATAATTTAATAATAATAGATTTTATATTGCATTCTTTTTCTGAAAGCTTTTGAACTCCCCCCATTCAAAGAAATCTGTAAATTATTTTTTCTCAGCAAACCAACCAATCACACATTTCCCCCCATCACTAACAGCAATATTTGTCGACAGATTGTTACAATTCTTGCATTAATGCTAATTTTTTCTAATTCATTTTAACCTTTTATAACAGTTTTTTTTTAGAACTAACTATATATCAATATCAAATTTTACTGTTTTGTTGGTAAATATTAGTTTTTTTAATTCAAAATTCGGATTGTATAGTTATCACAATATCGAAAGTTCGTGAATGTTGCTTGCATTCCAGAGATGATATTTCAAAATTATTCCTCTTTTTACCTAAAAAAGCTGACAATGACTAAGGAATATATATGAAGCATATTAAATGATGCGGAAAATTTAAATTTTTTTTATTCATATGTGTTTAGTCGAAAGATGGAAAATGAAACTTAGTGTTTTACTTCTGCACTGTACAAGATTCCAGTTCCTTTAAAAACAATTAACTATGCGAAACTAAGAAACTGTGTGTTTAGATTGGAATTCTTTAAATGTTTTAATTTCAAATAAGAAAAAAATTCAAAAAAGTGTAAATTTTAAGGAATTTTATCTATTTTTTTTTCTTATAGAGTATAGAACTAAAAATTAGACAATTTTACATTTCTGACATTTATTTTTTTATACTGAATCTCTTAAAATAAAAATGCTATTTCTAAATGCCATTATTTAAAAATTTGATTTGAGATATTGGTTCAAGGATCAATGAATTTTATAAAAAGCACTGGTAAGATGAAATACAGTATAATGCAGTATACAGTACAGCTTTATATTGAAATGTAATTACAGTGATTCGCAGAAGTGTTGTACACTTATGAATTTCAATGAAATAAGACTATCCATTAATTAAAATAAATGTTTCAGAATGTATATTTAATGATAAAAAATGTGTTCTAATCTTAACAAAACTGAAATATTTTAAATGACAATATTAAATATTTTAAAAACAAAGGAAAAGTTTATTTTTAAGGAATCAATCATCAAAAAGTGACAAAAACTCTATCCCACAAAAGTCATCATATACTTTAAAAGAAAAAACTCAGTCTATCAGTAAATCTAATTTTTCGTTAAATTAACATTTAGTGGAGTTTCCTTTTGCATCTACAATAGCTTTTAAAAGTTGAAAATACGTGTAACTAGTGTTTTATTTGTCGGGTGAAATTCGTGCAGAATATTTAAAAAAAAAATTTACAGAAACTTTTACAACACTCAATTGCGAATTTATGAATTTTCCACAAAATTTATAATTTTAATCTCTGATATGAAGTCCTTCTTTTAACCATTTTATCGCATATTGCATACTGCAATAGGACACAATAAACTAATTTTTCATATTCATTACTGATTTACCTATTATGAAGACAAATAATAGAATTTGGTCTATTTTATTACGACCATGAGTCACTTTTGAATGATAAAATAAAATATTACGGAGTTAGCAAGCAAAAATTAAAATATAATTTTGCTATTAAAAGTTTGATACTAAAATGCTAATAAATAAATAAAAAATTAAATGAAAAACAATTATATAAAAAAGCAATTGACGATAATTTTTATTCTGAGATCCAAAACATTTATCTGTACGATGACTTTCGCGGGGTAACATTTTTGTTACTATTTGATTAAAAAATTAACTTTTGCTTTGTTTTTAAAATATTCCGTGCAGTTTTGCTAAGAATAGATTATACATCTTATTATCAAGTACCCATTGTGAAATATTCATTTTAATTATTGAATTTTTATTTCCTATTTCAAAATGAATTATAAGTGAATGAGCACTTTTGGGAGCCACTGTAATTNCGATTCCCTCAGTTGTTAAATAGTTAGCCAAGCAATCGTCTGGTTTTACAACCAAATTATGTAATTTTGATAGTTCTTTGTTGGCTGCTGTGAAATTTGTGGCATTGTCCGAAAACAACTTAGAACATAAACCCCTACGAGCCACAAATCTCTTTAAACACGCAACAAAGGCATTTGAGGTTAGATCCGTTACTAATTCTAGGTGTATTGCCTTAGTCACTAAACACACAAAAATGCAAACATAAATTTTATGATAAATTCCCTTCCGTTGATGTTTGTACTTTATAAAAAATGGACCACAGAAATCTGTGCCCGAGCAATTGAAAGGAAAATCAGGAGTTACTCTTTCTTTCGGGAGATTTCCCATTAACTGTTCAACTCCTAAAGGTTTTACTTTAAAGCAATCAATGCAATCGTGCACAATTTTCCTGCACGTTGCTTTACCCTGAACAGGCCAAAATTTCTGTCTAACATAATGTAGTAAAGCAGTAGGCCCTAAATGAAAATATCGTTTGTGAAAGAACTCTAAAATTAGCCTAGTTAATTTATGACCTTTAGGCAGGATAATTTGAAATTTACTATTAAATTCTACATTAGCATGATTTATTCTGCCCGTAATGCAGATATTATATTTCAGGTCAGGCATATTAATTGTTTTCAGTTATTATATACATAAATATTTATTCTAATAATTCTTTTAAGAAAAATAAAAATTAAATTTGTGAAAAAAAACAAGGAAAATGTTGCAATTTTTTCCATAGTATTTATTTGGCAATTAGTTTTCGAAGAAAAGTTATCCTGGAAATATCCTCACATTTTTTTTATTTATAAGGAGTTTTTAACAAAAAAAAAAATTAGAATGATCAAATGTTCCAAAATTTATTAAATTAAAGTTGTTTTGCTAAGCTTGTGATACAAATTTAAATTTATAGTATATATGCATTTATTTATGCTTGGTGATTTATTAGTGATGTTATGCATTGTCTAGTGATGCTATGCATTGTCTCGAAATCGAGATACCTTAACATCCATAACTTCACTGGCAGATAACTAGCTAATGTGGAAGTACTTAACTTTTTAACAAATGTTCTTATGTTTTACTAATCCCTGCAATGAAAATGTCAGGGGCTGTTGTTGGTATTTAAGACAAAATTATTGGTATAAGTATTTTTTAAATGGAATAATCTTTTTTAATTTTTTGATTAATCCAATAAATGTTAGTTTTGCTATTTCAAAATTCAGTATAATATTTGATTACTTATTTTTTGTATTCTATAACTTTAACTTATTTTTCAAATAAATAACAAATAAGGGTTTTCCATTTTTATTCAGTGTGGCATTGTAGGGCGAACAGGTGCAGGAAAATCATCCTTGACTCTAGCTTTGTTTCGCATTGTTGAGGCTGCTGGTGGAAAAATTCTTATTGATGGAGTAGAAATTGCAAAACTTGGCCTCCATGACTTGCGTTCTAAGTTGACAATCATTCCTCAGGTATATACTAATTTTCAATTTTACTTATTTATAATTTATTTAAAAAAGTTTATATTTTCCTTAAGTAGATAAAGTTTTTTCCACTTTATTTACCAGGCTCTAAAAAAACACAATGCAGTATATATTATAGCACTTGCCTTCGAATGAGGGGAACCAGGTTTAAATTCCCGTGACGACTGGTCGACACGAATTCCACACGTGGCTTGTAACGACCACATTGCTGAAATAAAATATCTTCAGTGGTAGACAGATCACGAGTTAAAGTTCCCTTGCCGTCAGGCTAACTGTGGAAGGTTTTCATGGTTTTCCTCCTTATGTAATGCAAATAAAAGTTATTTCCATCAAAAAATCCTCAACTAAAGCAAGTTTCTCCCAATATGTGAACGAAGAATTCCCTTGTCTTCTGGATTCGGTTTAAAATTACAAGGCCACAGATTTAAACATTAATAGTCGTAAACCTAAAAATTGGGTCGGCTGTTCAGCGACGGTTATAAAATAAAATTCTCTCAAAGAATTAAAAAGTTAGGTTTTTGAAGATAATTAAGAAAATGTCTAATTTTTGTATTCAATTTAAAAAAAATCCTTAATTTCCTAAGAAAAACATTGCAATTTTTTCATAATATTTTTTTTTTAATTTTTTATTTTATTTAAGCAACTTCAAACTCCTCATCCACCACAAAGTATAGCATGAGGCTTACAGTTGTAAGTAGAAAACAAAAAGAAGAAAAATGTACAAATTTACATTAAAAACAAAATTCCGTAAGGCCGCAAGACTTTCAATACTTTTGACCAGTTCTGATAAAACAGGTGGCCAACAAATAGAAAGACGTCTCAAATCAGTCTTTAAATTCATTCGGGCACTCGCATACAGACTACAATGAAGAAGAATATGTTCAGCATCTTCATCAGCATCACCGCAAGCACAAATTCCACTGGTCTGCAGATGGAAACGAAATAAATATCTCTTAAAATTTCCATGGTTTGTTAAAATTTGGGTCAATTTAAAATCAGTTTCAAAGAATTTACATTGCAAACGGTGAAAAATGGATGGAAAGAACCTTTTCATAATATTTGGCAGTTAGTTTTTGAAGGAAATATTGCAAGAAAAGTGATCTTGGAAATTTAAGCATTAAACTCTAGAAAACTTTTTTTAAGAAAAGCTCGGGATTTAGCCATGGAAAATGTTTTTAGTACTGCTACGTAAACTTAACATTAATTCATTAATTTTATAACCGAAGTATATGTTAAATAAAGTTCTATTATTCATTTCAGGATCCAGTTCTTTTTACTGGTACAATGAGAACAAATCTTGATCCATTTGGCTCCTATAGTGATGATGCTTTATGGTTAGCTTTAGAACAAGCACATCTGAAAGATTTTGTTAGATCTCTTGAAACAGGCTTAGATCACGAAATTTCAGAAGGTGGAGAAAATTTAAGGTAATTTTGTATTTTTTGAAATATGATTTGTTTACATGTTTTTTGAACTTTATAAATTAACTTTATTATATGTTATAGTTTTGTCTTTAAATGCTGTATCCACTTTATGAAAAAATGTGCTGTATTTCTACTTAATCAGATTTTTAATTATATAATATTGAGAAGGTATAGGATTATGTAGTGTTATTACAGTTATCATTTTTTTTTCTTCATTTTTTATAAAAAATTAAGATGCATGAAATGATTTACATTTTTGGTTTATTTGTCTTTAGCATATGATAAAATGAAATGGTTAAGAAGATAAAATGAAATGTTAAGAATGAAATGTCTCCTCAACAGAATCATTTTCAAAAGAAACAAAGGTTTAAGAATCAAAGAGTTAATGTAAAAAGTCTGACACAGACATTAAAATTTGCTTTTGAAACTCACTTCACTGAAACAACTTTTAAAGTCTAAGAAAACTTTTAGAGTTGTTTGCATGACAGTAGTTGGAGGTTAATTCAAAATGTTAAAAATGGGAATGTAGTTCATGTAATATTTTCAGGCGTTATTTGATTAAACCTGTAAATTAATAGCCACATCTGAAGAGGTTAATAAAAAACAAGACTTTGAATTTTATTGAAATAGGATTCAAAAACGCTTGGAAATACTAAAATTGGTATTTTTCCTTGCATATTCATTATGTCTACTTACGTACAACGTGTTTTTTCAAAATTTGAACTTTATATGGATGTTGCTGTATAAGTGGTTGACTTCATCCAGTCCAAGAAAGATAGGCTAATTTAAATTTTTAACAAAATTTAGAAAATTTCTGCAATTTATACTAACATTAATTGTTATCCTCTTTCTGTACTGAATTTCTTTATCTTCATTCCTACACGTGTGGCCCTTGGGGACGAAAGGTTGAATCAAAGCTTCTACTTTAAGCAAAGGCTTTTTAAATAAGTTCAGAAATGCCAGCTCACTAACTTGTATGGAGTGTATCAGTGTCTTCAATGCATATGTTTGATATCCATGTAAAAAAAAAGTAACAAAATTGCAAAAAAGAGAAAATTGTAATCGCATTTATGCAATCACCCATTAGTTAAAGTTTTTTATTTTATTTTCTGGATAGACTTTCATGAATACCTTAACATCTCAAATCATGGGTTTCAAAAACTGCATCAATTGATGTGTTTGTCTTCTTGTAGCGCAATGGGCTAGATTAGTTTTCAATATTTCTACACCTATTAATTCTCTTGATACTTTCTTTAGTGTTGGTCAAAGGCAGTTAGTGTGCTTGGCCAGAGCATTGCTACGTAAAAGCAGAGTTCTTGTTCTTGATGAAGCAACTGCAGCTGTTGATGTTGAAACAGATGAGCTCATACAATCTACTATCCGTACAAAATTTACTGACTGCACAGTTTTAACCATTGCACATAGACTAAACACTATCATGGATTATGACAAGTAAGTTTTTATTTTTTATGATTTAAACTTTGTTGAATATTATTTCTGATATAAGTTTATTTATCTTAATTGATACTGCACAGATTGTAAATGTTCGAATCCATGATAAGAATAAGAAAGAAAATGGTAATTTACAATTAGCCTATATTTTTTGCTACTTTCTTCACAACTTCTCGTAATTTGAATCTAACATACAGGTGCAGTTTGTGCAAAAAAAAAAGCTCAATGTTTTAACAGCCCATGGTGGGCCAAGGCCCACTGTCCCCATTCCAGTTATCTTGTCTTTGGGCTTTAAGATGCAGGAGCAGATGTTCTGGTTGAGTGATCAGCAGATCATTAAATTATATTAAAATAGCTTTCTCTAAGTCAATAAAAGTGCAATTTTTAACAATAATCTTTAGATCATATATGATAGTTTAGATGAATAAGATTACTGGTTCAGAGAAAAGTATGATTCTGGGCATCATTATGGCATTTTCTAGGATGTAAGGCTGACCACAGTACTCCCTCCTCTCCAAAAGTGTACGTTATAGATGAAAACTAAGAAAAAGAAATCTAAAATATCTAGCATTAATTACTTCAATTTAATTTCATTGCTTACCATAAAGGGTGCCACCACAAAGAGATCTAAAATATCTAGCATTAATTACTTCAATTTCATTTCATTGCTTACCACAAAGGGTGCCTGCTTTTGCATATTTTACCTTAGCTAAATATTAAACTGAAATTTTTTTTAAAATTCTTATTCGATTTCCATTTGAAGCATGTTAATTAAACAGCAAATATAGTTCATCAATGTAATTAGATTGTTTAAAATCGAAATAAAGCGCTTTAAAGGTTATTTATAAGGAGGACTGTTAAAAATTAGTGAGTGGCATTAAGCACCCAAAAATAATAAATTGTAATTTAGCTGGCATGTTTATCGAAAAACGTTCGCCATCTGTGCAGTCGCTTGGGTAGGAATGGGAGAATTAACAGTAAAAGACTTGGGGTACATTGCTTAAAATCTCAATGAGCATTTGCACCTTTGCATAGCTGAAAAAAGCAGCAACTTTGAAACAAATTAAGTTTATTTATTAGTAAAAGTCTACTCTTATTTATTGTATTTGTTTTAATTTTATTTATTTATTTTTTAAAGCATACCCTGAATTTAGTTTTTTCCTAGTCTACTTTTTTCTTTTTCTGTAACTTCAGAAATGTTTTTTTTTTCTTCACAATTTTATAGATTAAATTTGAATTTTGTTAAAATAATGATCAATATAAATTTTGTAATTTTTTATTCTTTTAGATTATTATAAGTTAAATAAATATTTTGGTAGCAATAAAAACATTAAAGGTCCCTTCAGGCAGAAAATTTTTTTATTCCTCCAGGTTAACTTGCGGAGAATTATGTGTCCACAATTCCCATAATCATTCAGTAACTAATTATTATTTTAAATTTTTTTTTATTTTATTCATTAAAATATGTTCTATTGAACTTAGTTACTGAATTTTAAGGTTCTAAGTATTTTTAAATTTTTTCAAAATTTAAAGATTTTTAAAGCTTAAGTTATAAAAATAGTTATAACAAAATTTAGTAACTAAGTTTAATTGAAAACGTTTCGATAAATAAACTGAGACAAAAATTATTCAAAAATATTAATTAATTACCGAATAAATAAGGAAATTTTGGACAGATAATTCTCTGTATGTTCGCACAGAAACAGTAGAATAGGTTTTTCTGTTTAAAGGGACCCTTAAGCATAATTCACCACAGTCTTATTTTAGGTTTATGTAAATAATTAACAAAAAATTTATTCTGTGATTATTGATGCTGTTATGATATTGATACAAGGTCATTTCAATATTTCAGGGTTATTGTATTAAGTAAAGGAGAAATTGTAGAAATGGATTCACCAGAAAACCTTCTTAAAAATGAGAATTCTATATTCTATAGTATGGCAAAAGATGCTGGACTTGTTTAATTGAAAAAAAAAACTCTCTTTATGTACATTGTGATACTTCTATATTTAAATAAATTTTACATCTAAACAGGCAATAAGTCACCTAAGATGCCTGTAATGCTGCTATACAGTATTTCATCTGCTTTTGTGAATGTATGTGAAAAATTTAAAATTGTACAAATACTTTGACTGGTCACATTTTACACAGAGCTGATTTTGACTTTTTTAAAACTTACGGTTCTTAAAGACTTTTCTAAATAAAAATAAACATTTATTTCCCAGTTGTATAATATTTATCTTTTTACATGATGTATAAACTGAATGAGTTCGATCTAGTTTAAAAAATTAGACAAAAGGAAATCAAAATATTTTTGTAAGATCTAAATATTTTTGTATTTTCGAACATAAGTATTTTGAAAGGAAAACTTTTAAGTTCTCTTTAGATGTATTTAAATTATTCCTTATCGACTACTTATTTACTTTTTTTTTCAATATGTAAATAGCTTTTTATTTTTAAAAAAAAATATTTGAAACTCTTTCAAACTTGTTTAATTTGTGACTAGAAATATATTTGAGTATATTTGTGACTAGAAATATATTTGAGTATATTTTGTTTTATTCTTACTATTTTTTGAAGAAAATCGTTGGTTTTTGACTCTAGTTGTTGAATTTTATGAAGTTTTAGATGTATAAGCGGTCATTTGCACTTAGATTTAATATATATCCTAACTTAATATTAATTAGCTAGCTAACTCCTAGCTTTATTTGATGTCAGAGTCTGCCTCTTGCAGCTTACTTAGACTCAGTGCCAAATACTGTTGTTAGAATGATATAATTAACAGTTATAGTAAATATTTATTGTGTACAGTATTGAAATTCAACTTTTGGAAATTTAATAATTATTATTATATTAAGTTGAACAATTTACTTACTTAGATTCTTAAATTATATGATTAATACTATTACAATTTTATGTAAAAACATGCATATAATTCAAAGTTACTCAAAATTAAACTACTTAAAATTGCTTTTTTTTTCAATGCAAAGTTTATTTAAAATTTATGAAACCATGTGAAGAATTTACTAATGTAGAATTTAAAACTTTAAATCAAAGAGAAAGAATAAAGTAGTTTAAACCCTTTGCCTTCCTTATTCTAATGCTTTCCAAACTTTAGCTGATTGCTTTACAGCTATACAAACTTGTTTCTCCAAACTATGAGATAGAAGTGCTTAGTAGAGAAAATCTGTAGCTAGTCATAATGTTTGAAGAATTGTTTTGAAAAATATTTGTTATAAATAAATTTAACTGAAAAAAAAATTTATTAGAAAGATCTTTCTCTCTTTTTAATTTCGGCAAATTGTTATCCTAATTCCACCTTGTTTTTTAATAATGTAAATGTACTTCATATTGTATGGTTGCACAACCTTTTTGAAGAAAGAAAAAAAGACCACAAATAAAAATGTGGAAAACTTTTAGTTTTTTAAACTTTAAATAAGTACCTCTACATTTTGAGAGACTTTAAGCAAATAATTCAATTTTTTTTTCTAATTTTATTGAAATTAGTTTTAAAAATAGTTATAAAATTTTTTATATAACTTTTTCATGGTTGCTACTCGATGGAGAGAATAGGGAAAACCTGGAAAATAAGGCAATTTAAAAATCATCTGCAATAACAGAAAATATGCAGGGAATTTTTAATTTTTCCTTGCAAACTAGGAAAATTACAGGGAACTTTATTTCTTATTTTTGTTTTTTAAAAAATGCCTACCTTTCAAAGTGCAATCTATGGGGTATTGCTCAGCTTTGCTATCTCATTTTTATAGTATTATTTGTTATATGTATGTTGAGATGTTTCTTATTTCTCTAAGTTTTCTTAAAGCTAGTATAGTTATCCTAATATAGCTCACACAAGATCACAGTAATTGTGGGTTTCCTCTTAATATATTGTGTGTAGGAAAATCACATGGAATTTTTTTGGCCAGATTTGAGTGGCAACCCTGTTTTTATAAGTTAATATTTTGCTGCCAGTTAGGGTCTGCACATTAATCACTTGAGGGCTGCAGGTTTTACACCCCAATTGTATTATGCATTGTATTATGAAACTATAGTTTTTATATATGTGTGCTAGTTATAACTGTTAAAAGTTATGTTGCAGTTAAATGTTAAAATTTTCTCATTTGCAGTTTTGCATTTCTTTCAGTGCCTGAAGCTACAAAGCTCACTTAAAAAAACAATACATCGCTCAATAACATAATGTTATTTTCTTGTGATTTATTATAGACTGTTTCATTTTATAAGGGACTTAAATGATCATTTTATGTCTTGTAAATATCGTATTAAATTTTATTTATGCTTTGGACTGTGTTATTTTTTTTTTTTTTTAAAGTTTATTTTAAATGTAATTTAAATGTGTACATATTGTCCATTTTAGGCAGATATTTTTTAGAATTTTGTAAGTTATACTTAAAATTTTTAGTTTGTACTTTATTAAGCATTAATATATTTGTTTAAAAAACTGTATTTAAATCCATCCATCAATTTTTCTCAAACTGCGTGGCTTAAAGGCGAATTATTTCAGTATTGTTTTGTAATTTTTGTAAATTCAAATAAAAAATTTTTTATTAGAATGTGTGATTTACTTTTTTTTTCTCTTGACAAATATTTAATCATTTCGATAAACATTTTTAGTCTAAGGCTTCAGTTTTTAAATCTTTGAAAATCGTCTTTATTTTCAGCATTTATGTTCAGATTTTTTTTAAACAATAAAATAAGTTTAAGTTCAATAAAAACAAACCAATGAAGTGAAAAAAGAACATCAGTATTAAATTAGAATTATCCCAAAATAACAATTATAACAGTTGCATAATTGTACTGTATTTTTAGCCAAGCTTTATTTTCTTCAATCTAGCTGTAGGGCTTATTATTATAAAGTGATTAGCCACCCTTTGTCTAAAGGTGATGCTTTTGCAAACTGTTTATTAGTATTATATCCAGATAGATATTTAAAAAAGTTCCAGAGAATTTTTGCTAGTTAACATCACAATACACAGAAAAGTCTTATTGCCTTATAATGTTTTTCACCAAAAACGCTCTTCTTAAAAAATTTAAGACATGGCCTGTCATTATACAATATACTCTTGATATCTCGAAAACTTTGTTATGTCAAAAAAAATATTTTTCTCCTTGGCATTATCTATCCAATTAATGTTAATTTGAATTCCTATGCCGAAGAATTTCTTCTCAAAATCTTGTTATGTCGAATTTTTTTCGAAATAGAAATTTTATTTTTTTGTAAAAATCACTATATAAGTTTATTGTAAATCAATTCTTTTCTATTTGAGACATATGTCTTACTTTTAAAAATAAAATTATCATTACATATTTAATAGTAGTTAATCTTATATTTCACGTCTCTACTTTTTAGAGAATATTTTAGAATATATTATGTATTTTATGAAAATCGTAATAAAAAAAAAATTTATGGAAGTTTTTCTCTGCTTTCTTAGAAATCCTTTGTTTGATCTGTCAAAAATGTGTGAAGCAGTTTAGTAATGAAATTTCATTTAGTTAAATTACATGATTTATATTTATTTTAGTGACATAATACAAAGGTATCTTTTGTTTTTCTAGGAAATATATTGCTAATTGAAATTTATTTTTTATAGATAGCTTAATATTGATTTTTTTTGAAAATAGTGAAGAATTCTTTGGTCATATTTAAAATAATTTGTTTCAATTTAAAATAAAAAAATCTAAACATTGAGAGAAATGGAGCAAATTTAGCTAATATTTATCATTTTTATTCACAATTACTGCATTCATTATTATTCTTTTAGGTGGTCTTAGCTATTAATTAAATTATGAGCATACATACTTTCATAAAAAATTTTATTCTGTATGTATCACATTTATGTGCAAAGCAATTTGTACTCAATAATTTTTATTTTTTTTTGTTTAAAATGCATGATAAAATAACTATAATTCATTGGAAGATAATTCAAATTAGCAAATTAAGTACAATTTAAGTTATCTTTATTTAGATTTTAATTTTAAATTGAATTTTTTCATTTAATTAATTTCTCAAACTACTTGTATTTCTTATATCTATAATTGTATTTTTTTCATTATGAATACCCTAAGATTTTTGACAGTTACAGTTTAAGTGTAAATGGACAATGTAAAGCAAACCTTTCATATTTCTTCCGTCTCTTCATAAAATACTAACTAATAAAATATGTTGTTATTCTTTTTACGAGGTGATTCCTTGGTGAAGTATTTAGCTAACTACTTAAATGTTGAGCGAAAATGGGGTATCGATGTTGTTTGCACATCCTGGAATCAAGGTGGACAAATTAAGTGTGCAGTTGCGAAGAGACGATTATGATTTTGTCTTAATTCATGTTGGTAAGTTGAAATGTTATTTATTTACATATTCAATGATTATGTATCTAAACTGTTTGTTGGCATTGTTTGTATCTTGTGTAACTATTCTAATTCAGATACTGATTTTTTTTTAAATATTACTTATGGTTGTGCTATTAAATAATAATTTATTTTGCTTATCTTAAAAATAAAGGCACTAATGATGTGCAATTGGGTGCAATACCCAACTTTAAAAAACTGGCTTTTGTGGCTAATAGGGGAGATTTCGTATCGTGATCTGTAGAAAAATAATTCCCAAGTCTTAGCAACTTTGGGGCAGTCTGTCGCCAGGAACTAAAAAAAACTCACAGAAGGGGACAAAGTTGAAAGGTATAACTCGTAATTTTATTTAATTTGCAAGTTTAAAATCTATTTAGCACCTTGGCGATTGTGGTTGGCGTGACAAATCTCAATACGGAATATTCCTGAGTTGTTGTTCTTGAACGAACAGTTGAGAAATTTCTCTCGCTGAAAGGAATCAGCTTTATCTGTAGATGAATGCATTGGTTAATATCGCATTTATTTAATCTGCCAGGGCCATATTCAACTGGCAAACATTTTTGAAGAATGCATAACAAAGTTGCTAAAAGGGATGTGTATTTATACACAACTTTGTGTATTAATTTTATGAAAATATCGTAATCTCGTCTTGACATTTAGCCAGATCACCAGAACTCAGCCCATAGAAACAAGAAAGAGTAGTAACAGAACTGCAACAGACTTAGTACTCTGATGCTGTAAAGAAAAATATTAAGAATGTATTTAGTAGATAGTGTTTTTTTTTCCTTCTTTCTATTATTCTTATTTGTGCTACTTTACACAATGCAGAAAAATGTTTAGATGCAATAGAATATTTTATGACTGGTTCTCTCTCAACAATTCTGGTTCTGCCCTTGAGGGACAGAGGGAAAATTGTTTAGAGCATTGTCCCTGAATTATAAATACTCTTTCACTTTAAATGCTTTTGGTAAAATATACTAAATGAAAAATAAACTGTTTCAAAATAGTAATGGTATATTGGTCAACACTAAAGAGAGAGATTATAAAAATTTGTCAATTGCACTGAGATTAATCTAATTCTCTTCTTTGTTAGCTTAAATGATATGTAGATTCAACAGAAGCCAGTGTCTCAGTTAGTATCTTTCGCTATTATTACTATAACGTTTTTTATTTTCATTATTCGAAGAATTGTATATTATTGACAGTGGCATTTTACCTTAACTATTGTGAGTTTTTTCCCAACTGTATTGTTATAGTTCAGTTTCTTTACTGTTAGTGCAGCACTATTTGTAAATTATTTTGAATAATTAAAGTCAGAATGAAATAAGTTATCTTTTAATGTTTATCAGAATTTGTCTTTAATCAAACCCTGGTTAAGAGAAAGACAGTGTTCCACCAAGTTAGTATATTACTCGTTTATTAATAAAATTAATGATACAGTGGAGCATCGTTTATACGACGATCACTTATACGACGTTTACATTTATACGACGTTTTAGTGTGGTCCCAAATCATTCCTATTCATTTTNTTATTTTAAAAAAATTATTTATTCCTTTTGTTTTATCAGTCGTATTTATTGCATTCTAAATAAAACTGATTTAATGTTTGATCTAGATACTAATAAGTTTAAAAAATTAATTTATGATTTTATTCTTGAAAAAGGTTTAAAAAATAATATTCATTGAGGAACTGGTGATCTCGACAGAATATAAATGATTAGATACTAAAAACCAGGGGCAATGCAATCAAGCATTAATAATAAACAAACACATCAACATGTACTGGCTCACCATTGAAAGTCAGTGTGGGTATAACACAACATGCACATTTCACGATCAGTCATGAACTTGTTCGCCTTTAAGGAGCCTACGTGGCCCGATTACCTTGCACATCGAACAGTTGTCTCTGGGGTAAACAGTGTGCCAACTGAACAATCGGCTGTGAGGTCATTTATGTTGTGTTAGGAAATTATTTTTAAAAAAATCTGTGCTGTGACCTAACTATTAAATGTTGTGATGTAATGTCCTGTAATTGTCTAGTTCAGTGTTTCCCAAACTTATGACTTTTGTGTACCCTTTCTAAATTTTTTGTAACGCTGTGTACCACTAATAAAAAAATGAATGTATTTTTTACTGAAAAAAGATAGCACAAAAAATTGCAACTGACTTTTGACACCACTAATTATTAACTGTTAACTCTGCAAAATATAGCCAATAGGAAAATACGTAATGGTAAATTTTCATGGCTAGCTTTGTTTTCAAATAAAATGTTTTGAAGTTTTTGTTTGTTGCAATATACAGTACAGAACCCGTTATTCGGAAATCAGAAAACCGGAAAACCAAAAAACCGGAACGAAATTCGATAAATTTTTCCGCCATTTTTAAAAAAAAAAAAAATTTCTTCATAAGATTTTAGGATTTTTCTTTCTTTTTTGAAAGATGTTCACCTTACCATCATTTTGGAAATAATCATTAGTATATTACTCATCGTTTTTCCTTCTTTTTAAGATTATTTCCAAAAAAAATTATTTTTAGTTGGGTTTAACAATAAAAAAACGGCTTTTTGTAGCGATTCAGAAAACCGGAAAAATCAGTTATCCGGAATAGCGATGGTCCCGATCGTTCCGGATAATCGGTTCCCTAATGTATTTTGCATGAGAACGCGTACCCCCGCTAAACTGTTCCCTTACCCCTGGGGGTACGCGTACCACACTTTGGGAAACACTGGTCTAGTTCTTAAAACCATTGGTCTTTATGAGTAAACCCTGATGGATGCTGCAATAAAAATGTTAAATAATTTTAAGCAGGCCCTTCCCATCTTTTCAGATGTAAGTAACCTGCCTAAAGTGGAGCTCTGAAAAAAGAATTGAAAAGAAGTAATCGAGCAACAAACCTAACATTGCAATAATTTAAACTCCATTTTTATGTCTTGATTTTATAGTGACAGATGTTTCAAATCCCCAAGTATAAGTTGGAGTGGTACTTCCACAAAAAAGAGTTGTAAGACCCCTCTGAAAGCCTGTCGTATGCCTGGAAAAAGATGGATATGTGAGGTTTAATAAAAAAAAATTCCCATTAATGTGTGCTTATAACACTATTCTGGTAATTAAAAATGCTCTCTTAAAATGTATACTTCTGTGCTAAATGTACCTCTCTCACTCTGTAATTCAAGTTGATTCGAATTAATGTATGCAGTCCTTTATTA